TAAATAAAACAAACACTGGCCTAACAAAAGTCTTAGTATTCATAGAGCTTTTTCTCTAATTTTATTGGAGAAATACCAGCACGAGAGATAACAGATAACATGAAAAGTATGGTTAAGTGTTTAGACAAAGGATAAAGCATGATAAAAAGACAAAGAATGAGAGGGGACCTATTTTAGGGAACTCAGAGCAGCTCATTTTCTAAAAATTAGGCCTCTGAAAAGAAGAGAATAAGAGGACAGGAAATAAACCATTCAAATATCTTATGAGAGACATTCAAGACACAAGAAGAAATGCAAAGTCCCTGGAGACATGACAGCTGGCACACAGCCCACTAGCAAGGGTACAGGCTGAACCACAATGGAGTGGCATACAGGAGGAGAGCAGGAAACATCAACCACCCCCTGCATTCAACAAGTAGATAAAGTCACACTACACACTACACAAACAAACATACACACTTGCAAAAAAAGTTACAGCAACTGATCACAAAAACCTTGTCTTTATCAACCTGTAAATTATTAAACTAGAAAAGATTTTCTCAGATTAAATCATAATTGAAAAATCTATCAATCAAAGCCAGGTAAGAGCTAATTGAGCCCCAGTCCTTCACAATTTCATAAGGGAGAACACATAAGTGGATCTCAGAGGGAGAGCCTGTATGTCAGGGGCCAATTGAAAGACACTTTCTAAGCACACTTCATAGGGACCACAGTGGTTCCTCGGTTCACATGCTTGATTCTTTCCACAATTCTGGTTGCAAACCAAGTGGGTGAAGAACCAAATCAAATTCATTGGTTAGGTTCAATGTTGATCATATAGAGAAATTTGATTTGGTTCTCATCCAGTTCAACTTGTGACTATAATTGTGGAGAAAACTGAGTTTGTGAACTGAGGTACCAATGCAGCACTGGAGAAAAGGCATCCGGCTTGTACTTGACAACATCATCATGATGCACCTATCACAACAGCTTAGCCAAAAATGACAGCAACAAAAACAGGTAAAAAGACAAGGAAGCAGCTACTTCAAATCTGAAAAATACTTCTATTTCACAATAAAACAGCATCACAAGCAGTTCACAGAAAATAAGTATAGTATTGGGCCTACACAACATAACTGCTTCTGCTGCTGCACCTAACACTAGATCTATTCACATAGGTCTCGTTCAATTTTTGCAGTGACACTGAGAATCAACAGTCTCACAAACTCTAAGTTTTGGGTTTTCAACTCTAGTTATACTTAACTATGTTCTTTCCATTACACTCCATATAAGTCTCTTGAGGAAAGTATTTACTTTATCCTTTAACATTCTTTTCTTTGAGATCACACAAAAGGTATAAAACTAGAGGCAGAGTTTGAGTTTTGGAGGACTCATTTAAATTTGAGTGGGACCAACCCAAATATACTGAAAAATGCCACAGTATAAGCCTTGCATGACAATCTTTATTTTAAATATATCAATGTTTAATAAGATAATTGACAATGTGAAACAGGAAAAGCGCTAATGGAGTAGGGAAAATGGGAAGGGTAGGGAAAAGGTAATAAGGGAAAAGAAAAAAAATATGAGAAAATGAAAAAATGGAAATAAAGTGTTTGTAAACAGGGAGGGGAGGAAGGTGAAGGGAGGGCAGGGACAAGGGGAAAAAATGAGAACCAAGACCTGTCATGTAAAGGTACAAGATCCCAATAATGAATGTAACTGTACTGTATACCTAAAATGTACCAATAAACTCAATGAGGAAAATAAATATATCAATGTTTAGCAGTATAGAGTTAATAATGGAAGGATTCCTGAAAGATGAGCAATTTTAATTTCACTTTGAAGATTAATACCTCAAAGAATTAACAATATCAAGAATCAAAGTGTCTGAAAAACAGCAGTCACTAACTACTTAAAAGTTAATCCTCGGCCGCAGATTTGTCTCAGTGGCACCACACCTGAAGTGCAAGGTCCTGAGTTCAATCCCCGGTACCAGAAAAACAAAACAAAACAAAAACATCAATCTTCACTCTAAATGAACTCCACAAAGCTCACTGTAACGAACTTCTGGGAGTTTATCTAAACTACTATACTACTCTCTTAATAATAAAGTATCAACTGGTTCTTAATTTGTAGATTTCTCATTAAACATATATCACATACATATACATGCATATACATGTATGTTTGTCCCTGGTAATCATTTTGTTTTCAAAAATAGAATGATTTAACAGACTCTCATAAGAAATATTTAAGGTAGTTTTGAATTACTCTCCATGACTACAAAAATTACATCTTTGCTATTCACCTGTTAATTCAGCACAGGTACATTATGCCAATGTTAAATGTGAAAAGTTTATAGTGAAACTGATGAGGTACATGTGTGACAGCAGTCCCAATTTTCATATATTTATATTCCTCTTAAATTACAAGCTGATTTGTAATACTATACTATGGTTATAGCAGACAAAACATTTAAAAAGTAGTTTGGTTGTACATAGAAACCGTAACCAAGACAAATCTTGTAAGATGGAGTTCCAAGAATATTAAATCATAAATTGTTTCAGCAGCTGGTTAAACCTGAGTGTACATAACACAAGACATCTGGTTGTCTGTGCATTTTCAGTTCATTTAAGAAGTATAAACACATTAAAACATGTAATGTTTGATATATTGCAACACTGTCCACTTGCTCCTCAAGAGTGTCTAAGTGGCCACTCCATTCATTGTACTCACTGTTTATTTACTATCTAAAGTCACCTACTATTTCCAGACCCCTGAACTACACCAAAACATTTCACCAATAAATGAAAAGGAAAAAAAAAAAAGAATGCACTCATTTAGGATATGTATTAAATAAATGGCATTGGTAATGAAAAAAATGTTATTAGATGTCCAATTTTTAAAGTTAAATAAAAAATACAGGAACTACCAGGGATTTGGCTCAGTGGTTCCACAGACTGCCTCACAAGCGCAAGGTCCCGAGTTTGATCCCCGGTACCAAAACAAAAACAAGACAAACAAACAAACACCCCACATAGGAAGCATCCTACATTCTATGACAAAGAAAGAACAGACATTGTATGGGATCATTCCCCTCCTCTCAACTGATCATATGTAAAAGAAACTTCCACAGTGGCTTAATCAAAGTAGGTGTTTGTTGTTTTTATTTAAGAAGAATACAAAGATAAGGGGTCCAGGACAATACAACAGTTTCATAAATGTCATCCATAATCCCATGTTTCTGGGCCACTAATCTTTGCATGTAACACTGACACTCATAGTTTCAAAATGGCCCAAACTGCCACATTTCAGGAAGAGAGAGAGGACAAGGAATGAAGTCTGAAGGAAACATCAGTGCAAATTCATGACTTCTGCTCACACTTCCTTGCACTGACCCAAACTACGTGATATGGATGCATGGAATTGCCAAGGTGTCTGGAAACTAAGTTGGTCACACATTGCCATCTCACACAAATGAGAAAGGAAGGAAATAAAGGATACTGGACACAAAAATATGTGTCTGTTCATAAGAGTTCAACTTCAGTGGCAAGCTAGTCCCCAAACCCTTATCTAACAGATGACTCCTAGTTATCTCAGCTCCCCCTTCTAAGCTGCACATCACCACAGCAAATAACAACAGGGTTTTGTGCTTTTCACCTCTAAATGTCTAATAAAATTCTGGATGCTACAGTTATGTACAACAGAGGTCAGAAGCACATTACCCCACAAATGTTTGCCTCTCCTTTTTGGGCCAGAGGCAGATAGCACATTTCTGACCACATTCCCCAAGTGACTTATATTTTGGGATGGTAATAAACTTTAAAACCTATTTTGTTATTTCAAAAATAATTTCGTTACCATACAGATTCTCTGGTTGCACCTCCTGCCTCACAAGCACAAGGTCCCAAGTACGATCCTGGGTACCAATTAATTAATTAATTAATAATATACGCATTCTCAACAGAGATGAAAATTGGTTCTTTGGAGGGTGAAAAACTTCAGATACTAGAATGGCTTGTGGTCCTCCAAAAGGCACAAACAAGATGAGAATTCAGTGTACAGAAAGGTACTGATCAAAAAAAAAAAATGTCTAACAAGTCTTGTCAGGGAAAAAAAAATTTTTAAAGGTTGACAATCATTGCTTTACAAGTCACAAATTAAGACATTTTGAATCACATAGAAATTACATTAAGCAGCAGTGACATAAACCCAGTTACCGCAGCATAAAACAAATACAGGCCTATTTTTGTTACATAAGTCTAGGTAGGATAAGGGAAGGGGACTGTTAGCTGCTGATTAAGCAGCTCAGTGACATGAAAGCAGAATTTTTAGCAGGCCATGGTGGTCCACACCTATAATTCCAGCACTTTGGGAGGCTGAGATAGGAGAATCACAAGTTGCCAGCCTGAACAACTTAGCTAAGTAAAAAACAGAAAGAGCTGGGGATGGGATATAGCTCAGTGCTAAGGCCCTGGGTTCAAACTCGGGCTGGGGGGCTTGTCCACATTCTAGACCCAAAAATACTGTCTACAACTCAGAAATATGGCTCTTCTTGACAACTTTACCCAGATCTCACTGGAGAGCCTCTGTATCTCAAGGTCCAAGCCTACCTTCGAAGAAGGCCTCTGCAAAAGAGGCCAGAAATAAAATGTGAAAGCCAGGAAGGGAGAACAAATAAGTGCTCAACTTGCTTCGTTTATCACACACAGGTTACATTAAAGTTGCTTTTCTCTTAAACTTTGTTTCCAGAGATCTAGAAGACCTCTGATAAGGAGATTAATCTATTTCTGTGCCTACCACATGCCTAATATTGCTAAATGGTTTCTTCTTCCTTAATATGAAATACTTGCTTTGATGAGGATCATTGGGACTACATACTAAAAAGAATTCCATGGATATATAATCCTTAAAAGGCATGCATACAAGTACTACACTTACCCACAAACTCTTCAACATGATCAATTATCATTTTTAATATACACAGAAGATAAAACAGATCAGAGTTTAGCCAAACTTACAAGAGTGGAGTATCAGTGATTAACTGCATCAAACAGCACAGCAATTCTTCCAAAAGATCTTCTGAGTCTGAACCTGACAAGACACAAAAAAGCTTTTTAGTAAGGTATACAACAAAATGGAATTAATTGGAAGTTAGGTCTCCATTACTAATGAGAGTGGAATTATCATTACATTACATTCAAACACCAGGTTTGACTTCTGAATAAAAACTACATCATGAACAAGTTAGCATCCATTAAGATCTTCACCTAGTAGAAAAATTTTGGTTTGATTTGGTTGTTTTTTATTTATTTATTTGTTTGCAGCACTGGAAACTATACTACGGTGCCTTATGCATCCTAGGCATGCACTCTCCCACTGAACCATATCCCCAGCCCTAGTACAAGAGTTTTGAATGCCAACTATTAATAACAGCTTTCAAGGCTCCTGAAGGCCAGTGATTTTCCAACTCTCCCCACCCCTCACGCCCCCCATTCCTGGAGGTTGAACTCAGGGTTTTGCTTTGAGCTACATCCCCAGCCCTTTTAAAATTTGTATTTGGAGATAGGATTCTTTTAGAAACTGAGGAAAGAATTTCATGAAGCAATAGGAATCGGTAGTGTCCAAAACAAAAATCATGATATTGATTGGCTTTGAAAATTTAGAAGTCATTTAGCTACAGTCTTAGACAAAACATATTTCCATTAGAATAGTAATTTGTATCCTACCATTGCCACTTATTTTTTCTGTGACTTGAGAAAGGCATTTTATTGTTGGCTTATTATTTATAAAGAGTTGGTTTGTTTCTTGGTGGAATTCACACTATGACTGTGGTTTCCAGAGGTTCAGAAAATGTACCTCAAGGCTCATCAAGACAATCAAAGTTAGGGCCAGATATTAACTGTGAGGAGGAGTACTGGTCCTCTACCTTTGCTTCAAACAAAGCAGCTAGCACAGACTGATATTTACATACTTTATACATTTAACTTAAATATAACATCTCACTGAAAGAATTTCTGAAAGAGTGTCAGTAGTGTCTGAAACCAGAAATCACAAAAGATATTGATTGCCTTTGGAAATTTGGAGGTCACTTAACTACAGTCTGGGACAAAATCTATCCACTAGATGGTAATGGTAATTTGCATGGTAGCACATACCTGTGATCCCAGCACTATGGGAGGCCGAAGCAGAAGTATCACAAGTTCAAACCCATCCTGGGCAACTTAGCAAGACCTTGGTCACAAAATAAAAACTAAAAAAGAGCTAGAGATGTAACTTAGTTTGAAGGCCCTGGGTTCAATCTCTGGTGCCACTTCAAAAAAATAAAGGAAGGAAGGAAGGAAGGAAGGAAAGAAACTACTGGCTTACAGTCCCATAGCATCTTATATCATCTTATGTGATTCTGGACCTCTCCACTGACAGTCATACATCTCTATCCAATTGCCCACCATCATTTCCACCCAGAAACATCACTAGTACATACTCCACAAGTTCAAAACCAAGGGCCGGGGATTGAGCTCAGTGGTTCTGCTTTCTGCCTTGCAAGCACAAAGATCTGAGTTTGATCCCCAGTACAAAAAAAAAAAGAGAGAGAGAGAGAGAAGCTGTCTGCCATGCAAAACCAAATTCACCTCTCCTAACACTTCAAGTCCACTTGTTTCTTCCTTATTCTCCTTTTCAGTGACTGCATTAGTAATTCAAGGCCAAAAGCCAAACTCTCATAATTCATCCTTCTGTAGTCAACCCATCACTGGGTCCTCTTAACTACAGTCCACCCTTCTGTCAATGCCTCTTTACTCGCTATCATGCTTTTGTTCATTATATCATCTCACCTCAGTTAAACAAGTTTACTACATTAAAACTCACTCCTGAAAATCTTGAAATCTTCCTACTTGTAGTATTTGTACCTTCAAGTTTCACTTTTCTTCAATCCAAACTCCAGACTGCTATCAGAGAGAGCTAACTAAACTCCATGCTTTCATTCTCCTGGGCTTAGGTCTTTTTGACTACTTTAAGCTAATGGCTATCAAAACAATTACAAACTGCAAAGTATAGCATACCAGACCCTTCAAATTATAACACCCTGCATCCACTAGTATCTTTACCTTCCTCCCTTCCTCCCTTCATGGTGATATTTCACGTTATACCTCCTCAAAAACATTCCCTATTCTTGGAATACCCTCCAACAATAAACACCTGATATTTTAAAAAGCTCATCTTTCCCCATTTAAACCATCCTTGATCTCTTTCTCTTCTTAAAATTCAACTCTCTTGCCTCAACCTGAATAAAAATAATCATCTATAATCTGTGCATTGTGAATGACTTTCACTGCACACACGGATTATGTCAGTCTGCATTACTGTTTGTCCACAAGTACGCGGGTCCCTACTGGACTCTGCACTTCCTGAGGGCAATGACTGACAAAGGGCTGCACCACATTCAGCCCTCCACAACCATAGGTTCCACATCCATGGATTCAACGAATGACAGAATGAAACTGTTTAGGAAAAAAATTTTTATTTAAAAATTTTTTATTTTATGCCATGTCCCCCTTACACCCTCTCCACTCCCTGTGTACAAAAGCTTTTTTTTTTCCATTTTTCCCTATCTTCACTTTTTTCTTGTCCCTTCCTTCCTTTCTCCCTCCCTTGTTCCCCTTCCCATTTGAACATCCTGTCCTGAACACATACATTTTTTTCTTTTCATTATTCCCTAAACAATAGAGCATAACAAATATTTGCATAACAGTTTTACTGTATTCCTTACATAAGTATTATGGAGATGATTTAAAGTATACAGGAGAAGCCAGGTGTGGTGGCACACACCTATAATTCCAGCACTCAGGAGGCTGGGGCAGGAGGATCACTCCAGGTTCAAAGACAGCCTAGCTACACGGTAAACTCAAAACCAGCCTGAACTGCATAGCGAGACCCTGTTTTGCATAACAGTTTTACTGTATTCCTTACATAAGTATTATGGAGATGATTTAAAGTATACAGGAGAAGCCAGGTGTGGTGGCACACACCTATAATTCCAGCACTCAGGAGGCTGGGGCAGGAGGATCACTCCAGGTTCAAAGACAGCCTAGCTACACGGTAAACTCAAAACCAGCCTGAACTGCATAGCGAGACCCTGTTCCAATAAATGATTTGAGCATCTGTGAATTTTGGTCTCTGTACAGACTTGCAGAGCCAATAGATTCCAAGGAGAAAACTAAAATATATATGCAATACATGCTTGCTGAACTGAACCCAGGCATATTAGTAAAGATGCAGCAGTTGTACCTAAAGCATCAGAACACTTTGAGACTCAAAAACAGTTCAGCAATTTTTTTCTACCACCATATTAGCTGGTATTCAGCAATTACAGAGAAATGCTTTCCTGCCTTGCCACAAATAGAACTGGCAAGTAACCCTCTAACAGAGTATAAATAGTAAGGAGAATATTAAATCACCTTGAACATATCAATCAATGCTAAAAAGGGTACACAGCAAGACTCAAGTTCAACAACCACATTAAATCTCATCCTACAGAGTATAGTGACCCAGACATAGATGAGAACATTTAAAATCACTCACTGATTTGTTAAAGAACATTTCAGACCACACACCAATTTAATAATCTATTCCTGTGCAGCTAAGCAGCCAGCAGAGTTTCTTTTTAATTATAGAAGGTGAGGGAACACATGCTCAGGACCCACAGATGGTGCCTGATTGTATTTTTTACTTTCAGGCCTATAAACACACCTAATTTTTAAACATTAAAACAGAGACAAAGATTATTCACTTCCATGAACCATCCAAATCATGACCTGAACCAAGTTTACAGCTAAGTCAATTAAGACACATTCACAGCTTTGTTATCAATTTAACAGAAAATGAAGATAAATGAAGATAATGCATTTCACACAAGTAAAATGTAAGATTTCAAAGCCAATGCACTAACAGAAGATAAGAATAAGCAATTTTCAGTTAAAATCATTGAAAACTTGACATTTTTTGGAAAAAACTCCTCAGAATTCCTTTTATTGTTTTGGGGCTAATCTAGAAGTATATAATTTTATATACAGTAAGTGAACCTAGGCAAGATTTGGCTGCTTCAAGGAGTAGAGGAGAATGGAAAAAAAAAGAAGGTATAGGACATACAGGTAAAAATTTCCTGATGTGATCACTGTGTATGAAAAACATGCACTAGTAAAAAAGTAAGTTAAAAAACAAAAGAAATGGACTCAACTTAGATGTCCATTGATGCAGAAATGTTTAAAGAAAAAAAAAAAAAAGATCTGGCTGCTTATCATTAAGCAAGCTATGTATTCATATTGCATTATTTCTCAAGCAACATTTATATCACCTTAGTCTATGTAAGTCAAGATTTTCCTTAGCTACAATACAAATAAATTCATCTACCAAAAATTATGATAACATGCATTCTCACAGTAAAACTAATCTCCTTTTTGTTGTTTTTTTCATTTTTTATGGTTGTTTTTTGGTTTAGTTTTCTTTTGGTAGGTTTGTTTTTTTGTTTTGAGACAGGGTCTCACTTTGTAATGCAGGCTGGCCTTAAATTCACTACATAGCTCAGGCTGGCCTCAAATGCACTACACAGCCCAGGCTGGCCTCAAACTCATGCTGATCCTCTTGCCTCAGCCTCCTGAGTGCAGAGATTACAGGCATGCACCAGTACATCCATAATTAAAGAAAATCTTCAAAGCCCTTGAAATTAACAGGTCAATGACCAAGTAAACTGAGGCTCTGTCAGCAAAAAAACTTTAAACGTGTTTCGTGTGTTCACTATACTGTAAAGATTTACAACTTAAAGAGTTTTTCTCTTTAAGGGAGAAAATGTTTCTTTAAAGTTTAAAAAAATATTTTTTGAGAGTTTTCTCATAGAGTTTTAAATTGCCTCGAAGTGTTTAATATTGTAAATCTTACCTTCTGTGAAATAATACTAATGGCTAACTTTTACTTAGTGTTCTCCCTTTGAGAGACACTGTGCTGAGAATTTCACACTGCCTCACATTAAACCTGACAATAACTCTTATACAGTAAGAACAACTGCAATCATCATTTTACAGATGAAGAAATCAAGACTC